TTTTTATTATCATTTATTTTTTTTTTTAATTCAAAACTTTATTTATAGACTTTTTGCTAAAATTGCGTTTGCTGGAATAGGAATTTCTTTCTCCATGCCCAACATTCCCTTAGCTTACAGTATGCAGGTCCGATTTTTAGTTTCTGAAAATATTTTAATCCATATCTTCAATAAAACGAGTTACAATTTGGTTTTCGATACTATTTTTTCAATTTAAGACGGCGAAGATACAATTTTGGATAATATCTCATTAGAAAAAGGATGAAATGATGAACATTTTCCTTGCTAACAATATGCAGGTCCGATTTTTAATTTTTGAGATATTTTAATCCATATGCAAAAACACTCCAATTAGCCGACTTTACCGGAGACATAAGGAAATCTGACAGCTCAATCTAATTCACTATAAAAAGTGCGAATCGCGGCTAAAGAAGTTTTCACTTCAATAATATACAGAAAATAATAAAGGCATTATTATTAAAAATATAATATATAAATACAAAGTATATTAGGTGGATACAATAATCAAGTTTACAAACTTTTACAAGTGAAAAAGAGATTAAATATTGGAGCGAAACGAATCAATAGATGTAGGGCGGTCGGAGACGTTAAACTAATTTCAATCAGTAAATCTCACTAACATCAATCTTCGATGCTAACAGTTAATTTAAATTAAAAGTTCGCTAAGTAATAAGGTATGTTGACTCGGAAAATTTATAATACAAACATTTCCTCACTTACATGGCCTTCCGATCTCATACTAAAATAAAATACCACCTCCTCCAATTTAAAATTAATACCTTAAAAATAATGCAAACTAAAAAAAACATACACGAAATATTTTTCAGTAATGATGCTAGTAAATTAAGGGTTATGATCTTTGGATTGCATGCACAGCATCGTGACATAAAATTATTTCATTAGGTGAAGTTTGAAATAAAAAAAATTAGAAAATAATTAAAATCTACTTTACAATATAATTTTCAAGCGTGGGCATGTTTTAAAATTGGATTTTGAATCAACAGCGTTGGATATAAAAAAAAAGGTTAAATATATATTGTGGTGTAATCTAGATAAGCCTACTAAATATAACTATCTGTAAAACATGATATTTGTTAATATTATTGTTAAGTATACAAAAAAAAAAAAATTCTTTCCATATGTGCTTGTTTTAGATGAAAATTTTCTAATATTATAAAATAAGGCTCTGTTTATTTTTTCACCATATTTATTTTAATTTTCATAGCTACGTTTAGGCCGGTAAGCCATCTTCAAGCCATCTATAATATAAACATCATTAATTTTATATTTTAATGTAATTCTGCTCTCTATGAAGGTGGTATTAGTCGTTTTTAATTAAATATTCTATGAATTATAACTCTAATCTTGATACTTGATACTTTTTATTGATTCGTCTTGTCTTGATCTTACCTTGATTCGTATGTATATGAATAAAAAAAGCAACCTCATTCTATCTAGTGGTACTGTTAATTTAACTGGTAGAGTTAAGTACAAGAATTTTAAAAAAAAATGACTAAACCTACTTAGAGTTCTAATTCATAGAATATGTAATTAAATAGGACTAATACCACCTTCATAGAGTGCAGAATTACATCAAAATATAAAATTAATGATGTTTATATTATAGGTGGCTTACCTGCCGAAACGTAGCTATGAAAATTATACGGAGTCTTTTTTTATAATATGGAGTTCCTTTCGTTATAATTTTACATTTTATTGAGGATTTATTTATTTTTTCCAAACAATGAAATGGATAACAATATAAAAATATATTATACATTTCCAGATTGGCTTAATAAGCGTACATAGTTATTATAAGGTAAGATTGTTTTTTGCTGTTTTAAAGAATTAGACATCAGGATCATCAACGCCTGCAAAGTAATTTTATTTATATCTGGATTAAAGTTTTAAAAGATTTTAAACAAATGGTTCGATTTCAAGACACCTAACAGTTTGGCCCGATACGTAAAAAGAGCACTCCAATAAAATGTGGCTGACTCTATGTGTATTATTGCAGTGTTGGCACTGTGGTGGTGGATGTTTGCTAATGAGATATGAATAAGTAAGATTGGTGTGGTCTGTTCTGAGTCTGGTTTAGAAAACCCCTTCTCTGCGGATATAACGATTTGATGTTTATGATGCTTTATTGTTTTTTAAATATCTTTTAATATTTTTGGCGGAGAATAGGGAAGATGTTTAACAGTTGGCAAACTGGGGATATAGTTTCACACAAAAGATGCCCCTAAACATATATATTGCTAATAACAATATCCTTATCAACATACTGTTAATAAGTACTAGTTTAAAATGTGTAAAATAAATGAATAATAATACAATAAAATAAAGCATAAAATATAATAGAAAATACTATGAAAAATAAATAATTACATTCTTCTTAAAATAAATAAATATATAATATAAATAAAATTAGAATGTCTTACTGAAGTCTTTTTTCAGTCCACGCAGTGATATAGAAGTTCAAAAATTGAAAGCTAGTACACACTTTTTAACTGCTGGAAACGGGTTAACATTTTGAAAATTGAGTTTACGATGTTTCAATGAATTTGACTATTTCTACTGGAGTTCTCAGAATCGTATTACGAAAAGAGTATTTTTTTTTTTCACTTCGCAAATGAATCCCGACGCTTCAAAACCTTACATCATTAATGACCTTAATATTTTCTTGCAAATCAGGACGGTTTTAGGCTAGATTTCCTGTTGATGTCGGGACATAACATTGGCAACCTTGCGAAGTTCAGCGTTAGCTGCGGAATTTCATGGATCTGTTTTCGCTATTTTGCGATAATTTAAATAAATCTTTAACCAGTGACATTGAGCGTTTACTCGTTTTGCAATATACTAAGAATGTTTTCAGTTTTGATCAGAAAAGTTTAATAAATATATTGGTTCATTGTAAGGCAATATGGAATGTAAAGATTAATTTTTTACCTCATTTATTATTGGTTTCAGTACTGCTTAAATTCAAGTAAATACAATTACTGAAATATTAAAGTTCATTTTAATAAATATGGAATGCGAAAACAATCTTTTCATAAGGAAAACCATAGTGAATATGACAATGATGTACAAAAATTAAATTTTGTGTTAACGGAAAAACTAGTTTATACAAATGTAAAATGCATATATTTTTTATTTCCAATTCATTTTTCTTAATGATATTTACAACTGTATTAAAGAAATACATTTAGTAAATTTGAACATATGGATATAATGATGTGAAAACACTTGTTGAGAAACTACTCAATGGTAGCACTCTAATGATATGTCTACATTAGGAGAACACGGGGCCATCTTCATATCAGACGCCTCAGAGGGACAAATACATATTTTAGAGTACAATAAGCTCGAACCACACATTTTCTTGTATTATATCAACTGAGTTTCTAATAAAATTGAAAGTGAAATATGAATAGTATACTCTATTAATTTGTTTGGATGAGGACTCCAAGTCAATATAATACACGTAAGTAAACCTAAGCAGCTAAACAATGAGAATGCAGATTTCGACAACCGTACTTCAAAATATTTATATAATAATAAATTTCAATGTAAAAATAAAAATTGCGTCCCAAACATTGTTATATAACTATTCTTATGTAATCTTGGTCAGTGGTGCCCTTGAGCTGCACGAACTTGGCATAGAATTTAAGATGGAAGGACTTAAAATCATTTATTCAATAATATATCTATCAAGTCATAAAATTGCCTCAATTTAATAAAACAAAGAGAAAATGTTTAAATAAATAGGATATCCTCACTACACACTTAGAACTGGCAAGGAATGAATGAAGTTTGGGATTTTTCCAAGATGATTTTATTTAATTTTATTATGAAATACCTCCTTTTCTTGAAAATAAAATAAAGATTACTACAAATACAGAAACAAGAGCAACTGAAAATATCAAATCAATCTTGATTGTAGATTTAAGCTCAAATAATCTCTGGATAAAAACTGCATTCTTTTAAAAACAAATATCTGTGTTTTTTTTTTCTAAAAGGCATTATAAGATATTTAACAAATATCTTTGAAATACCTCGGTAAGATTATAAATATTTTAGATATAACTTTTGAAAATTATTATTATAACTTATCATTATTATCGATAATTTATTTTATTTCAATGCGATAAAACTTGAATTGAAACTTGTATGGGACTTTTTTAAAATGTTCTATTTCAACAGTTTCTGTAATTAGCAGTACAGTAATTGTGCTTAGATTAGAGTAACAATTTATACTGACCGAATTACTTGATTCTAATGTGTCATTTGTTTGAGTAGCTAAGAATAAAAGTCATTTTTTAAATCGACTTTTTGGCTAAATCAACAAAACTTTGAAATAAAGTTAGTTTTTTTAAAATAAAGTTCTTTAAAACCTCTAATTTAAATAGCGGAAGAGAATAAGTTGTAGTTCCAAATTAACAAAAAAAAAAAAAAAAACAATGAAAATAAAGATACCAGTCATACTGAAACCGATTAAAAATTAAAGTTGAAATTTCATTTCAAGCACTGCCAAAGCAGTGACGTAATAAAAAAAAGTATGTATATTCTATATCTATGTGACTAAAACGTTTTAACAAAAGTTAAAAGAAAATAAATAAAATAGCAAATGGTATAAATAAATTAAAATTAATGGCTTAAATTGGCCTTTTGAAAACCATATTCTTAAATTGCTTATTGCATGTTTAAAAAAATTAAATTAAGGAATTAAGTGATATATATATATATATATATATATATATATATTTTAATTTAAGTAGAAATTATATTTCAATGGATTGATTTCGATATAATTTAAAAATAAATAAATTTGAAAAAAATATTAATAATATAAAAATTAAAATATTTCATCTCCAGCTTTTTTTTTTTATCATGGAAAAAAATACGTTCAGTTTTAAGTAATTTTTGTATTTATACTAAAAAAAATAAATGAAGGTTTAAATGTAAATCTCGTTAAACATTTACGGCATTTTATAATTTGTAAACAGAGGATACCGTCCGGCACTAGCCTTGACAAGGGGTAGAATGGCTGAAATGCAATTAAATTCATTTTATAAAAACATTCGTTTCGTTGGCTATATTTTTTTCATTTTTTTAGAAGTAGAAAATAGATTTTTTTAAAATTTCGTTTATTTATTTATTTTTTATCAAAGAACTGAATGAAATTTTAAATGTATTCAAAATTATCTTTAGCGATCTTAATATTTATTGCTGACTTCCATCGGACATTACCTCGAGACCTGAAATTCTAGACTATCACGAAGCAAAATATAGGTGTAGTTTTTATTCAAATAAGTCATAAACAAACTTAATTACTGAAAATGACATAAGAGTATAAGTTATTTTAACATGCATTAATAAAAAATAAATAAATAAACTGAAGTACTCACTCCTGTGGACAGGGGACGGCTTGAGGTGGACTTGCCCTTGCTTGATGCTCTCCAACAGTAACTCTCTAGGCGAGGAGACGGTCGATCTAGGCGGGTTCAGTTTCCGTTCTGATGCCTGCACAAGATTATGTATTATACATATAGAAAAAATAATATTTAAAGATACAAAAATCAGTAATAATTTCAAACAAGTACAATTTAAACTTTTCCGTTTAAATAAAAATGCCAGCCTCCTACAGAAGAAACAGTCTTAGCAATTATTGGTAAGTGCTTTCCTGATAGCAGTTGTTGTTAATGGCTATAGCGGTTATAAAATAACAGCTATAAAAATATATTTTCTTTCATTCCATGATCGAAGTAAATATCGAGGAGGAGAACAGGGAAGTGTTGTTTAAATCATTAAAATAACTGCTAACCTTGAATAAGGTATACGATTTGTTCTAGGAATGGGCAATTTATTTTTTTAATTTCTTTCAACTTTTACATAATTATCACTGGTTCGGAGGAAACGAGAGATGGGTCTGAGAGAGTGACAACTCCGTTCGCCGCTCATGACATTTGTAATCACTCTTCAGTGAACCACTATCTCCAATACTACATTATTATTATTTTTTTTTTACAGACGTTCGCGATATCTCCAGCTAAACTCTTAAGATATATCTTATTAATGAATAAGTGAATTATGAAAAATGATTAATTCTTTTAGTAGAATAAATTATTCTAATCGGATCCCGTAAAAGAGCGTATTTTTCTCAGTTTGTCTACTAGTGATTAAAACGGCCAAAATTATTACTTTATTGAAATAATTGAAACAGTATTCGTAGAATACATTTAAATAACTGATTTAAGTAGAGAGGCTTCGAGACTATCTTCATTCCAGATGCCTTCAAGGTTTAACAGCAATTTATTGAAAGTTTACGAACCAGTTGATTAGTCTAAACTAATCTATAGCACTTTTAAGAATCATTAAAAGAAAGAAACTTTGAACAATCGAAAATGTTAAAAAATCTAATTAAACTTCAAAAAGGTATTGTCAACTGTGACCAACATCAATTTCGTGGTTGAAGCAATTTTGATTCAAGTGGAAATGCAATAAATATAATCTCATAAATATCTCCGTAACCATCAATTTATCAAAAAAAATAAAAAATTAAAGGTTCATTTTTATAGAGATCTTAAAGTTATTTAATACTGTACTTAACAATCTTTGCGAAAAACCTTATTGGTTTTAAAATATTGTCGAAAAAAAAAAAAAAAATATATATATATATATATATATATATATATATATATATATATATCTGTTTTCTGTTGTCTTTTCCCCTCCCAACATCAAAACCCGACGCGGGATTCTTTGTGGGTTTTAACCAGTTATTAAGGAGAAGATAATGAACAATTTCTGGCAGGTTTCATATTTATTTTTTTAATGTTTCGGTAAGGCTGTTGTGCTAAGTTTCCCTTAACTATACTGAACTAATAAGGAATTTTTGCTCGAAGGATGATGTATTTTGGGTCAGATCTGCAACAAATAGAATATTGATACTTTTATAGCTAGTTTTATCAATAACGTAATTAGAGAATTATAAAAGATTCTTCGATTTTGATGGATTTAGATTAGAAAGAATGGATGCATAAGAAATGTGATATTTTTGTAAAATCCGAAAGTCAATGGCATATGACAAAACAGATCTGATAATGGTAATGTATGTGAGTTTTTTTTTTTATGGTAAATTGGAAGTTTATAGTATTTGTCAAGTAAATATCGAAGAAGTCATGAAGAGTTTATGAAGTTATGAAGAGTCTTTAAAGAGTTTCAGTCTTGTATGAAGATTCCATATCAGACTTTTTTCAAGATGGAATGCTAGACAGAGATTAGTAGAAAGTTACAAACTATTCCAAAGGATTAATAGGAAATATGTAGGGGAGAGGAATTTACGGAGTTTGTAAAGCTACGCCAAGTCTCCTACTCTATCAAATACCCGTTTTACGTTAAGGAAATTTCCCGTTCAGTACATTCCGTCCTCCAAGGTGGAGGATAAAACATTCTTCATCCGACCGAACTACTGAATAGTTGAATGAGATGTTCGAAATCCGAAATGGCGGTCAGATATAACATGGTATTAATAAAGGACTGATTATGAGTTAATATTAATTTTCAACAATCGAACGAAAATATTGTAACTAGTTTACTTAACACTTAATTTAATTATAATATTTCAAACTAGCAATACAAAATTAGGAAAAATATTTTAGAAATAACAAAAAAAACTATGGTGCGTGCTTTAGATTTCACGATAGAAGCGAAAACATAAACAAGGCGAGATAATAGCTCATTATAAAGAGGATGGAATGGTGAACAATTCCCTCGCATACAGTATGCAGATCCGATTTTTAGTTTCTGAGATATTATAATGAATATCATCAATAAAACGAGTTACAGTTTGGTTTTCGATACTATTTTTTTCCTTTTTCGCCGCTTTAACACGGCGTCGCGTTAAGATACAATTTTGGATATCTCATTAGAAAAAGGATGAAATGATGAACATTTTCCTTACTAACAATATGCAGGTCCGATTTTTAATTTTTGAGATATTTTAATCCATATGCAAAAACACTCCAATTAGCCGACTTTACCCGAGACATCGGAAATCTGACAGCTCAATCTAATTCACTCTCCACAAAAAAAGTGCGAATCGCGCTTAAAGAAGTTTTCACTTCAATAATATACAAAACATAATAAAGGGATTATTATTAAAAATATAATATATACATACAAAGTATATTAGGTGAATATAATAATCAAGTTTACAAACTTTTACAAGTGTAAAGCGATTAAATATTGGAGCAAAACGAATCAATAGATGTAGGGCGGTCGGAGACGTTAAACTAATTTCAATCAGTAAATCTCACTATCATCAATCTTCGATGCTGACAGTTAATTTAAATTAAAAGTTCGCTAAGTAATAAGGTTTGTTGACTCGGAAAATTTATAAAACAAACATTTCCTCACTTACATGAACTTCCGATCTCATACTAAAATAAAATACCACCTCCTTTAATTTAAATTTAATACCTTAAAAATAATGCAAACTAAAAAAAAAACATACATGAAATATTCTCCAGTATAGAATAGGAGGGAATTAAGGGTTATGAACTTTGGATTGCATGCACAGCATCGTGACATAAAATTATTTCATTAGGTGGAGTTTGAAATAAATAACTTACAAAATAATTAAAATCTACTTCACAATATAATTTTCAAGCGTGGGCATGTTTTAAAATTGGATTTTAAATCAACAGCGTTGGATATAAAAAAAAGGTTAAATATGTATCGTGGTGTAATCTAGATAAGTCTACTAAATATAACTATCTGTAAAACATGATATTTGTTATTATTATTGTTAATATACTAAAAAAAAAAGATTATTTTGTCACTTAACTAAAAAGCATCATCATTTCAACAGAACAGTTCTATTTTAAGGAGTGAACCCATCGGTTGTATAACGTCTAAACTGAAAATCTTTAGAATGCAACAAGGAAAAAAAAAATCAAAATTTACTCAATCTTAATCTTGGATTGGAATTTGAAGTTAAAAGAGCTCTTGGATATTACAATAAAAACAAAAAATAAATCAAATGGTTTTATTCCACAGTTCCGATAAGGAACAAATATATAGATACAAGAGATGAAAAAAAAAAAAAAATAATAAGATGGGAATCACATTTTAAAATCGTGAATATTTTACAACGAAGTATATAATAATCAGCAAGAAAAGCATAAAATGATCCAGTGGAAAACGAATTTTCACGTTTTTGGCATGATTCATTAAATAAGATTAATAATTAAAATTCAGTAAATAGAAAATATATTAAAAGAAGGTCGTTTTAAAATAAATAATAATAATATTATTATTATAGAAAAAAACTTTATTTTGAAAAATAATATTTTTGACAAATATCTAAAATAAAACAAATTGGCCGGTTTGTTGAGTTAATAGCTAATAACAAAGGATACACAGGAAAGGGCAGGGGGAGGGGTATGCCCCATAAAATTTTGAAAGAAAATGTATATAAGTATTTATTGTTTCATATAAAAATATTTATGAATTATAATAACCATGAACTAAATATAGAGTTTGAAGTCAATTATCTACGTATGATTTTCATATATTTAGTCTTATCCTTCCCCCTAACATGAAAGCTGCGTACTCCCTTATGCAAATAGTCTTATTTAACCTATTCTGAAAGTTTAAAAAATTTATATAAATAATTGTGAAACATTCAACCTCGAAGTAAACTGGTTTTGTTCTTAATCTCTCGAGAGATCACTTAATTCCGAAACTTACTAATAGATCAAGGTCTAAATCTAAGCTAAACCATGATCCAACATCTGGGGCCTTTAAGCTCTTTAGTCCCGTCAATGAATGATTATAGAAGGAAATGGGGGGGACACAAATTTTGACTTTGTGACATTGTTTGGACAAGTAAGGAGGTAAACATACTCAAAGTCTCCACTTCAAGATGGTGAGAAAGATGTGGGAGATTTCCTATAAGGTCACTTTTTTCAGGTTTTCGCTCATATCAGGAAAACTATACATCGTATCGACAAAGACGTTCAATACAAAATTAAATCTGATAAAATTTGAAATAAGATTGATTATATACCTTTTTTTTCGTTACCTCGCTTAGTTTCCGAGATATTCGTCCTCAACTATAGCTAATTCTGAAAAAAAAAATTTTGCCTCGTGTTTATTGCTGTTTTTCGAGTTTTCGCTTATATCAGGAAAATTATCCGTCGCATCGACAAAGACGTTGTATACAAAATTAAAGCTGATAAAATATGTAATAATGATTGATTATATACCATTTTTCGCTATCTCGCTTAGTTTCCGAGATATCCGCCCTCAACTATCGCCAATCTGGGATAACAAAATTTACATCACGTTTTTTACTGTATTTGACTAGCTAACTCTTGTTACTTCTTTATACGATTAAGTCGTAAGGAAAAAAGTTTTTAATAACTTAATTTTCTTCAAGAATATATGTTATTTTACTAGTTTATCTCCAACGGTTCAAAAGTTAGATCAATTATAACTTTTTATGTCAATTCCGAGTATTTGCAGCAAAATATAATTTTTATACTATTCGTTATTATTATATTGCTCTAACTCTCTATACATCTAAATCTCTATACATATACATAAATACAATAACGTTTATTATATATATATTTTTTTAATTTTTTTTTTTATGCGAATTCTCGGAATCGACATATAAAGTTATAACTGATCTAATTTTTTAACTGTTGGAGACAAACAAGTAATGTAATATATATTCTTGTAGAAAATTTGATTATAAAAACTTTCTTCCCGCATGACTTAATCGTAAAAGGAAGCAATCAGGAGTTAGCTAGACAAATACAGCAAAAAACCTGAGGTAATTTTTTTTTCACATTAGCGATAGCTGAGGACGGATATCTCGGAAACTAAGAGAAATAGCAAAATAATGTATATTATCAATCAAATTGCAAATTTTACCAGCTTTAATTTTCTACACAGTATCTTAGTTGGCACGATGTATAGTTTTCCTCATACAATCGAAAACTCGAAAAACAGCAAAATTCAATTTTTTTTTTTAAATTGGCCATACTTGAAGCTATCTCGGAAACTAAGAGAGATAGTGAGAAAAAAAATGTATATTATCAATTATATTGTGAATTTTATTAGCTTTAATTTTGTATAAAAACGTCTTCGTCGATGCGATGGATACTGTTCCTGATATAAGCGAAAACCCGAAAAAAGTGATCCCTTCCGAAAAAAGTGAAAAAGGTGCCCTTCACCCTCACCTCCCTCTCTCCTCCACATCTGGCTCATCACCTAGGAGTGGGGACTTTTAGTATGTTTACCTACTTACTAGTCCAAACCATGTCCCAAAGTCAAAAATTGTGTCACTACCATTTCTTTCTATACCCCTTTTCGAGTATTCATTGACGGGACTACCTCCTCAATAGTAAAAAGAAAATAAATAGGAGCAGTACAAGAGTCTAAAAATTATCAATTGGAATTTTGTCTGCAACTGCAAACTAAGTTTCCTCGAGTCAAAAACATGACTTAAGAGTAATGCTAAACCGGACGGCGGAAGTTCCTCAACACCTCGAAGCAGGAAGTCCGCCGTTAACGCAAGGTTGCTGCACCTGAAACTGGACCGCTTTTCGAGTTGCACTGGTATTTCTTTTTTAGTTTCTTTTTAAATTAATGTTTTTAAGAAAAAACTAGCCCTCATATTATTCAAAGCCATACCGCCAGTCCACGCAATAGGAGAAAAATGTGTGTTTGATAACAGCATCTCATTTCTGAATCCAGAAAGAGTAAAAAAAAAAAAGTTAGGCAATTAACTAATGATATAATATATGATAGGTTAAATATTTTATGAAATTAATATATTTTACAGAGATGCATTCTAGAATTTTAATGACATAATTTTCAATAATATAATTATTAGATTTTTTGTAACAGATAAATTTAGTAATCCTTCATGCGAGTTAGTATCCTACGGTCCTAGGATAATCCCCCTTAAATATAAATCTATCTTTAATTAATTTCTTAAAAATATTATTATAACTGAAGTAATGCTAATGAAAACAATAAAATAATCTACTTTTTATATCTTATTTATTTCTTTTTATTTATTGTAATTTTATTTTAAAATAAAATTTGAAATGATCAAAATAAATTAAGAAACTTACAATTTTTTAAATTAAAAAGCATACGTCTTCTCGCTCATTATTTCATTTAATATTTTTTTATTTTATTTTTCCAAATTTACTTATTTATTTAACACTTATAATTTCAATAAATTAATAATAAAACAAATTTAAAAGGTACAATATTGGAACGTAAAAACGTAACAATTTTTCTCACAGGATTATATAATTTTAATTTTCAGGCAATCAGTAGCGAATCCAGGAATTAAATTTGGAGGAGGGCTAAAAACCTGGGAAAAAATCATTAATTTGATTTTTAATATAATTAACGAATCTAAGAACACTATGTCATTAACTTCAAAATGGGCAAAAGGGCCCGAAATGTTGTGACATGATGATTTATTGAATAAATTATTATTTAAAACTAAGGGTATGTATATTTTCTCTAAAAAAATACTAAAATGAATAAGTTCTATTTTATTATATTAATCATCTCGATGATCATTATGCGATTTCTGCTAATTATACAAGTAATTTGAGCAAAAAAGACAAATTACTTTTATGCAAAAAGAATTGTTGAGCCCGTGAAAGGAGAGCCAGTGTCCTCTCTTGGGTTTTTCTTAAGGAAACGGAGGCCGCTTTCTCGACGTAGGAAATAGACATCATCAGGCAAGGAAAAGAACAATTCAGTTAGAATGTCTTTTGCAATGCTAAATTACAATGGATACTAAACTACATTTTCATGACAGATGTATTAGGAACAATAAGATTTTTAACCTTGTGGTTAATAATGTGATGAAAAACCTTAACTTATTTTGTACCAATCTCCTCTCGTATCCAAGGCAATATTGGTACTCAAGCATTGTTTAGAACAATTTTTGAGACCAAACCAACTTCTACAACATAGATGCCCATGAATTTAAGAAACTGTTCCATTTTACAGTGGTCATATCTGTAAAAGCCTCTTGTTCTTTTTTCACTGGTTCTTGATAAAGCAAGTTTTTAGAAAAAAAAAATAGATACTCACAATAAATAATCAGTCTCGAAAGAAGATTTTAAGATTAGAAAATAAAAAAATTAAGGCTTGGGGAACTCGGAGATTAAATGGTATCCACACCAATCGCCCCGCGCCAAAACTCTAATTCAAAAGGTCAAACTTCTGAACCTCCCCACCTGCATCCTCCCAAATACTATTGTTAACGCCGCCAACGCTTATATCTTTATTTATTTTTTTAATATAATTATTTTTTCTCACAGTTTTACCCCTTTTAGATGTTAATAATTAAATGTTTATTTATTATTATTTTTTTTTTGTAAAAAACTGAGGGAC